CAAGAGTGATCAAGGATTGCAAATATGTTTTATCCGTTGGAATTAAAAGTTCATTTTAATTCAACTTCAATGGAATCAAGCATTTTTTACAACTTATCTTAAGTTGTTTTTTTTTTTCAATGCTGAACTGGAAGTAAAGAAATAATTTCCATTTATAAAAGAAAGAAAGAAAAAAAAAAAAAAAAAAAATCAGACTTTCCAAACAGTCAACTGTACATTTGTCAATAATAATTTTTCAGAAAGCTTTACCCATCTTTAATCAGATTTGTAATCATACAATATTTTGTATGGATAAATTCTACCTCACAAATTTAATAGAATGGAAATTTAAAGAAATGAGGAAATCATCCCGATATTATCTAAGGACATTTAAAAACAAGATGTACAGTTTGCCAGTCAATAAGTAAATTTTATTCAATGCTGGATCAAATTCAGTTGAGTTTAGAACAGAGTTTGGAGTTCAGCATCTTTTATTCTAAGAATTAGGAATTTCCTTCCAGGAGAAATTACAAACTTGTTGCTGATGCAAATTTGTTTCTGAAAATTTGGTGGGGGATTAAGAACAGCCACACTAAGCATATCCTGATATTAATTATACAACTTTAGGACAATGCCCAGCATACCAAAAATCATGTTTACTTTAGGTTCAGTGTTATATGAATTATGGAAGTAAATTTTTTTGAATGGCAAAATTTAAATAAAAATGCTTTAAATATATCACAATGTTATTTTACCAAGAAATCACATTACACCAGCAGTTACCTAACCAACAAACTAACCAATTTTGAATTTCATAAACAAACAAAAGCAACATTTACTTTAGAAAGTAAAAACTCCCGTAATATTCAAGAAAAGAACATTTCTATTAGCTTGAATAACCCAATTATTTATATAGGTTGTGATGTGCTTAGCAAATGTTAAATAACATGGAATACTTAAGGATCTTAACCAAAAGAATAGTTAAGTTGGAATTTTGATTAGCATGATTCTATCTAGAGGGAAAAAATGCTCTTAAAAATGATGCCACTAACAACACTTATGGAACTAATGTCAGAAAAATATTACAGAAAAACAAAACAAAAAAACTCAAAAAGCTGATGCAATTTATCTGATCATCAGGCTTTAAGAAAAATTTATGAGTTTTAAATTTTTTAGATTGCTTGTATTTGTTATAGGCAGGTTTTTATAGTCAGAAGACAATAGAAAGATACTTAATATACATTTCTTCATGTTTAATTAGGACCTTTACCCAAACTAGTGAGCTATATAATAACTTCAATTTTCTCTTGTTAGCAGTTAATTGCAAGTGTTTTAACACATCAAAAATTAAAAACTAATTCATGAAGCCTGACTTGCTATTTATATAATTTTGACTAAACAGCCACATTTCCTGATTCTCAGCAATGGCCAAGATAAGTGTGGAATGTGGTAAAAAGGCCGTTTTATCTAGTTTATTGTCATCATTATTAATGTTATCTTTTTTGTGAATGTATATTTTGTATGCCTTTCTATTAGTATTGAAAGGCACACATCCAAGCAAATTTACAAACGACTCAATTTTTCAATGAGAACCTCCTTTGTCCCATTTTGTCATAACAAGCCACCTGAAAACCCTATATATTAGAATAGAGAATAAATATAACCTCCAAAGCAAAACTAGACAAATACAAAAAGCCTTATTCAGAGATAATGGAAAAGTTCAGTATGTCAAACAATTGTTTTTTTTTTTTTTGGGGGGGCAACATAAGTTCCCTGCTTAAAGATAATGTTAAGGAACATCATTAAAAGGTAAAGAAATTGAAGGATATACTGATATAAAAGAAATTCCAAGAACAGGAAGTCATGGATAACAATTCTTAAAAGAATTAATTTTTCTCTTTGAAAAAATTAGTCAATCAATCCCAACACAAAAAGTTGATTGCGTAAAGAATAATAAACTTCCTGAATATTATTTGTTGTACAACTAAAAAATGCCCAGAGAAAAATTCTTACATAAAAGGATGAATATACAGGCTAAATAGTTAGAAAGGAGCAAAAAAATACACCAAGGAAGACATAAAACTTCACTATCAAATAACCAATGTCATTCAGTTTTAGGTATTATAACAAGGCTATAAGATGCTTTTGACGACTCCTATGCATAAGAGATTAGAAATAATCAGGCAATACAATGGACAATATTAAGATTTAATCCCATTGAGAAGAGATGTAGACTAAAATAGTATAGATGTGTATCACAGACAGCTAAAAATCCTACAAGGCACAATGTAAAGAGGGAGGAGACGGGTGACATGGAAAAAGGACAATATCCCAGAAGTGACAGACATTAACCCAATCATTCCCTGAAAAGATAAAGGAGAGTTGGTTGCTAAATAAAATAAATTATCTGTAGTCAACCAGACTACTAATGACTAATCAGTAAAGGATATTTATAAAGTTGATTGACAAATTTTAAAATCTAAGTTTAATAATATGTAATGAACATCAAAACTACTTTAAGTGGTTTTAAATATCTGGACATTTAAATGCTGTCATTATTATAGTCTAATAAAAATGGTATATTTAGCCCCAACCAAGTTTGATAGTCACTTGCCACATAAAATATATTCAGTTTGAAGATATTTTTAACAACTTTGAATATATATTTCCATACTTAACAGTCAAGATTCACAGAACCTTTCAGAGATATAAAATACTTCTCATAGGCAATAATTAACAGATTTAAGTGTTTTAAATTAAAAGATTAAGTGAAAAGTCAGTATAACAGTTTTTAAAATTAGATAAAAAAAATAAAAATTGTACCAATTTATGCAAACATTTGAAAAATAGAGAACATCAGAATTTGTTAAGTCTTACTCCACTTCAGAATATTTCATGTAAAAATTCATCAACATTTGAGCGAGTGAAATGAATTTAAATAAACATCAAATTATGAGAATTTAATAAGTATAAATGAGAGCCAATACCAGAATACATGACATTAAGATGAGAAAAAAAAAAAAAAAAAATTCAAAAACTTATTGAAACCACATGAATTAAGAGCTGAGCAAGATAATGTATACTAAATATGACAAAACCTCTAAAAAGTAAAGATAAAAGTAATATTAAGGTTACTTTATAGTCTCATTAAGTTCTAAGATAACAGAACCAAAACTACATATGTAAATGTGAATCTAAGATGCTGGTATATAAAATTGCTTAAACATTTTTGTGAATATCTATATTTGAGTGGACACTGTTTATTTATTAAACATATTTTTCAAATCCATCACTTCAGAAAAGAAGTTTTTTCAAAGATTGCCAGGCCACTAATGCTATGTCAAGTTTTAAATCTGACAATTTATAAGTTATATTTCTAATTTTGTTTTGATATAATCAGTAATGCCATTGGGGAAGTTGACAAGAGGTTAGCATAAATACAAATGAATACTGAATATTCTCAGCATAACAGGATTTAAAAATCTGATATTTGGCTATATTTTTGGAAGCAAGTTGAGCCAAGAACTTTTCTGCATGACTGCCAGTTCATGTAAGCTTTAATTTATACAAAATGCTTAATTTAAAACAGACACTAGAACAGCTTGCAAGAAAGTTTCTTTATAGGATAAAATAAATCAGCTGAAATACTAATATTGGAGGAAAATAACAATATGAAGTCAAATATTTAAATTCAACTGGCAATAACCAAAATAAATATCTTCAACTGGTAATCTAAGTTCCAAAAAGTTGTAATTGTGAGGTGGATTAAGATAGTGATAAGAGGACAGATAGCAATTAAAAAAAAAAAAAAAAAAGTTTGAGAATATGATTTCAATTCTTTTTCAATTGTAAAAATTTAAATTTGCTATAATTTTAGGTTTGTGTGAAAATGTGATTTTTAAATTGTGAATGTAATTCATGAAAGTTATTTTATTATAGCTTATAATTAGTTAAGAACAAAGTCCTTACTATATTCCATTATGAATTGAAATTTACATACTGTTTTTAATCATTCTGTATGGTTAATCAAAATTTCGCCATTTCATTAAATTAGTAAATCATCTTATCTTTCAAGAATATTTTTCTACTTTATAACTTCTGGTTTGTAAATTCCACCTAAAAATAAAAACTTTGGATACAAATCTTATAGATCCCACTACTTTGTAAGAGGAAAACATGCTTGTTACCTAAAAACATAACATCTACAATTTAAAAGTACCAAATTTTGTTTTCCATTTTAAGTAATCAAAAACATCACTTTGAAGTTATCAAGTTAATGGATACAATTAATGATTACAATAAAAAGTCTTCGGTTTTCAATTTCAGCACTTTATGTTGATAAAAAACTTCATTATGGACTCTTTGGCAGTATACACTTTCATAACCTGAAAGGAAGAAACAATTACATTAAAAACATTTTCTAATTAGTGTATTTATCTTTACAAATAAAGATTTTACATAATGTAAGGGTCTTTTTTTTATGTATAAAACTTCTACTACAAAATTTAATATTAAAATCTGCTTGCATACATTAAAAAGTGTGGAGAAATTCAGTATGGTGTAATGATTAACAAGCTGGTTTCCCTAGGTCAATTACAACAGAGTATAGAGTTCAATCCTTACTGGTTGCTCCATACTTTTAACCTTGTGTTACACCTAAACTATGCTTAACAAATTATGTAATATATATATATATATATATATATATAAAGAAAACGTTTTATCCTGAGGGACTTCAAGGCAAATCAGGACAAAACACGTCAGCTGAGTTTTCTTTGAGATGTGTGTGTGTGTGTGAGACAGAGAGAACAAAAAAGAGGGGGCATGCATAGTTCATTTTGAATGTTATAACAGTTGTAGGATTTCAACAGTGCAATGAACTTGACCAATCTGAATGCTTAATATAATCATTATTGACACTCATACAGAAAGGGGGGGGGGAGAAAAAAAAAAATAAAAACCCAAACATTTTAGAAAAAAGACATTTACCTTCTTAGACTGATGATTTCAAGAGTCAATTTTTAAAGAAAGTGATTCCAAATGCATTTGTGATAACTGAAATGTTAAAGAAAAAAAGAATAGTATATTGATAAAGTACTAAACTATTTATTACATTCTCATTTCCTCTATCAAAAGGTAATTAACATTATTACTAAATAGGTAGAGCCAAACCTTAAGTTGAAAGTTTATCCTCAGTGCCATTTGTCATTTATAATCAGATTGAAAGCTGTCAAAGTGACATTTAGGATGCTAAATTACAGGATTTAAGTTTTTGTTTTTTTTTTTGTTTTTTTTTTAATCAAGTCACCCCAAACAAGGTGATAATGCCACTAAGATGCAGGGGGGTTATTGGGAGTGAAAGAGAAGGAGAAAACTTTAAATGGAAGTGGAAACCCAATCCTAAATAGGAAACTGGATAAAAATCTATTCCTGTTCAAAAGACCAAGGAGGATTGTAAATCTGACAATAGTCAAACTTGCACACTGACTACAGTACTGTTTTTTTTTTAGTCATATGCTTTCATTTGCTTAAATCATATGTTGTTAGCCTAGCGAGAGATTTATTATATTTCATGCTACTTACTAAGTCATTTTAATGCAAAAGCTCTAACTATATAGTTATTGCTTTGATAAATTAACATTTTCATGTAATAAATTAGAAAGATGAAAACTACATATAAAAATTGTGAAATATGCTGTTCAGAAAATATGGAATTTCAATATGGTTAGATTATTATAAACTAAGAGGAATTCAAGTCACTTGATGTTTTTCTTTATTTCTCAACAACTGCTTATTGGCTGCAATATTAGTTCAAGACATAGCTTAAGATGAAAGATATAGTAGCTTTAAAAAAATTAAGAGTAATTTTAAAAACAAAGATAAAGGACAAATTTGGAATTTAATATATTTGTATGTGTTATATTATAAATTTGAATACTTAACCAGTGAGAGTAGAATGCAAATTAAGTGAATTATTAGAAAAATAAAAACAAAACCAAATAATAGAATTAAAAGTGATAAGTACCTGCTTTTCTGGAGATTTCAAGATCAGCTTATCAAGCTTATCTTTGCTAAATGTTATGTCAGGTTTCTCATCTTGGAGATGTTTATTCCAAAGACTCAGGTAATTATCTTCTATGCTGGTCCACATTCTTGGGTAATTAATAACTAAGGAATGGTGAGGAAATAATTCATTAAATCAAAGTTCATTCAGCATCGCTCCATTCCAAATAAACAGTATTAACATTTACCAGCCTGAATGTCCGAGAAATTTTCATAGAAAATATTTGCCTGCCAACAGGAATCAAACCTATATCCTATACAGAACCGTCATATAGCCTGACATACCATAACTGATTGAGCTACAGAGGATTGTTTGGTTAGCAAGGTTGATTTTACTAGTTTTAAACTACAATCTTCCATGAATCTCATGTACATTCATATCTGCTCAAAGTGTATCCAAATGTAAACAAATGACGTCACCTTGCTAACCAAACAATCCTCTGTGGCTCAACCAGTTAAGGCACGTTAGGCTATATGACAGTTCCATATAGGATACAGGTTCGATTCCTGTTGGAGGACGAATATTTTCTATGAAAATTTCTTGGACTTTCAGGCCAGTAAATGTTGTTTAATACTGTTTATTATAAACGGAGCATTTACTTGAATATTTGTATCTAAAAAGAATGTATAAACATAAAAATGTCTGAAAATAATTGTCGGACTTTGTCCATTTCATAATGTGAAACAAGTATATATGTAATGCTTATTTTTTTTTTTTTTGTTATTTAGAAAAATCCATTAGGAACATTAATTCTCAGAACAGTTTTTATGCCAGGTTTTACAGTAAAAATGACTTACTGATTTGAATAGCCAAATGGGATACAAAATCTTTCAAACTCTTCACACTCTTGATACATTTATCCTGAAATGATAAGTGAGGATTTAGAAGATATAAGCATTTACAAAAAGTTCTAACAGAGATATAAACACTTCATTAAAAAAATTAGGAACAATTTACATGATATGACAGAAATAAATCAATTTCTTTGCACCAATTGAATAAACACAGAAAATATAGTTGTATAATACAAACAGAAAGCAAGTTCAACATTTTACCAAATTGTGCATCAACAAAGTTTGTAAAGAAAAACAATGAATTGAAGATTTTTGCAAATTGTGAATTTTGTTATATCAAGTGTATGTTTTACAGAAGGTGAACAAAATACTTTTTTGTTGATAAAAGATATTAGTACAGAGTTTTAATAATTAAAAGTCAAATTTACATTATTGGAGTTACCTTAGTAGAATCAAAATACAACTCCATGGATTATTTTTTATATAGAAATTATGCATTTCAGAAACTCATTTTTCCTTGATCTGTAGTGCTTAATCTACAGTGAAACAGAAAAAAAGAAAAAAGGTTTGTATGAATGTGGGGAATTTATCTTTTAGAGGCTAATGTTTGAATTACAAATCTTCATGATGTATTTAGGATACCAACATGAAATTTTAAAAAAAAAAAAAAAAAAAAAAAAAAAATGAAATAAGTAGGAATTTAAAATAGATAACACAGGATAGGGCAGCTTTAAATTCATCTAAATTACATGTTAATTGCTTTGCATCTTAAAACTATTTTTACAGTGGTAAAATATTAAATTTATTGAGTTATCACAACTTCATGTGATTAAATTCTTAATCATTTTTATTAATTTTGCAATACAAAAATGTTACATATTTGTATATTTACAAAGAATAAAATTCAACATACTTTTTAAAAAGTTTGAAAAATTATCCATAAAAATAAATTTTATAATCTTTACATTCATTTTATTATAAACTTTGTGACAATTAACTTTTTTTAAGCGAGTTTCAGTTTAAAAACTGTGCTACTAAACTGCAAAAGAAAATGTGATAGTATTTTTTACATTTTTGTAAAATATGAAATTAAAATTTAATTGATAAACTGTGAAATTCTTAACTTTTAAATTTTGTAGCACAAAAAGTTACATTTGTTTTTTATTTGCAAAAGTCAGTAAAAATCAAAATCCAACATTTCAAATACATAAAAAAAAAAAAAAAAAAAAAAAAAAAATCCATTAAAAATTTTAATTACAAAGGACAATATCAGAGGAATATATTAAATTAAACTTTGTGGTAAAATTTTTAATGACACTTGTCAAAAATAAAATAAACTATACTTTTGGGGTTTTAAGTAATAACTCCAAGGGTAAAAAGGTAAATATTTCTTTTTAAAAAAATAGTTTATAGTGATTCCAGCAATGAGCTTCTTCTGTTATCACATGTTTAAGCTTAAGATCAATACCTCCAGTCAGCCAAGATCTGTGCATGCTTTCTTAGCCTGTTCAGGTATTGCCTTAAGACCTATTTATGAACTAATCAAATCTTACTATTTCACAATGAATACATTTCAATATATTAGTGTAAAAACTTGTAACACACACAAGTGAGAATACTGCCAAAAATCACTTGACAATGTAAAAATGTAGTTGATTTTTCAAAATGTACCAAATATCAGAAAATTATCCACTGTTTCAGTAGTTATTCAGTGAAGCTTCATGAACTTCAAGTTTTGTAGAAATATTTTTCAGGTCATTTATACTTTAATTTTAGTTAATTAGCACCAGTTAATTTTTGTATTTTCATTTTTTTTTTTTATAAAACCAAATCTACAAAAGGTTAGTTCATAAAAGATTAAACATTGACCAGAAAAAAAAAAAAAAAAAAAAAATGAAACTCTTGAAGTTAAGCATCAACAACTCCAAAAATTAAATTTTTGAGTTTAATCATGACACGCTTGTGAACTGAAGAAAATTTAAACAAAAGTATTTTTGAGCATTTTAAAAATTTACACCATTTTACATTTTTTGAAAGTAGAAGCAGTGATATACAATAACTACTATTTGACAAGTGATTACATTACTGGGAGGGGGGGGTTCTTAAATATTTTTTTTGAAACATCAGATGTTGAGTTTTAACAGAGCCTTAAAAAAAAAAAAAAAAAAAAAAAAAAAAGTTAATTTCTTTTACTAGCATCCCAATTAGCTAATCAAACTGGGTAGAAGCCATTTCATTTTACTTCCTTTAAATATTTTTTATTTTATCTCAGATAAAACCAAAATTTAAACTAAAGATGTTTCAGTTATCTAAAATGTCTTTTAGAGTAAGCCTGGACAACTAAAAGAAATAACAATCCTACGTAGGCAAACTATGTATTCAATAAAACTTGAATGTTCAGTTCATTAAACTAAGATTTGATTGATTTCATTGAGACTGTGCTTCCTTCATCCACTTTTTGCTGACATGAAATGATTAGTCAGTATGAAAACCATAGAACTAGATAAAATAGAATACACAAGTGGAATCAAAAGGCTACTCACTACAATAGAAATTCCAATAAATTCTAAGTGTAATACAAATATATACAGATCACTCTTGCCTGATTGTGGGTGAAGAAGATGATTAATGTCTTAAGTTCTTGGACTAAATTCTTAATTAGAGATAATCCCAGTATCCACCCCTTGAAGTTTTATGCATAGATTGGAATAAATGTAAGTGAACCAGATGCTTTAAGGAATTCATGAGTATACAGATGCCCCCCTAGGGGCAGGGGACACCAAATTATGGATAATTTGCCTGCACGCAGACACACACACATTAATAAAAGCACGTTTTCCTTACCTGACGACCAGACAACATTTTATTTGCCTTGTCAAATAACATCTTTAATTTTTCAATATTTGGCAGACATTCTTGTAGCAAGATTTGACGAAGTATAGTCTAAAAATAAAATAAAAATGTTTTTTTTCTCATTTCAGTTAAAACATTACTGAAGTTTAAAAACATTTAAATAGTTAATAAAAATTACAATTTTGGGACTAAAACAGTACATGTTTTGTTCAAAAACAGTACATTTTCTTTACTTTATTATTCAATTCATAAAATTTGAATCTTAATCATTTTTAGATAAAATAGTTGACAAAGAGAGAGAGAAAAAAAAAAATAGTCACTATGGCAACAAATGTTTACCTTCAATTCTATTAGGACTTGAGATGGAGATGATGAATTTGTATCATGGTAACTGGGTAGAGATACTTCAGAAATTACTTTACTTGGTTTAGACAATTTTGTCAGCTCCCTATTCATTTCTTTGATGAATATTCCTGAGTAAAGAGAAGGGTAGAATTAGATATCGCTTGTGTGGCAAAAACTTTATTTGGTTTAAGATTGTTAACATTTACCATTTGATCATATTTTATATCACCTTCAAGACAACTTCATAATTCAATCTTACAATTAACTTTTGAACAAATAACTACTCAAATGTCTTCAGTTTATCCAACGAAATGAAGTTTTATTAAGAGAAATATTCTAAAACCAAAATTGTAATCAAGATATGACAATCTGATATCTATCTTGCATCACATTTGGGTAAAGACTGCTTATTGGTATCATTAGCAGATTAGATTAATTTCATTTGTCTGTGTTGTGAAGTATTGGAGTTTTGTACCATAAATATTATGAGTATTGAGTAGTACATGGAAAAATAAGTCAGTTTTACTTGTGTAGAAGTCACGTTAAAGTGACTAACATAACCAAGCCAGTTCAAAGGATTACTATTCAAACAAGATATTTTAAGCATGCTATCTCCTGAATCAAACATTTCATCTTGACAGATCAACTGGCCTACCTCAATAAGGAGGGTCATCCAGCAAGAAATATCTAGTATAAAACAGTCTTGACAATTTACAAGAACTTAGATTGTACATTTTCAGTTCAGTTGCATTTTATTTTAGAAATGCTGTAAATCTTTATTCACTGGTAAAAATCAAAAGATAAACATTTTTTATGCTATTTGGATCAGTATGCTCATCTTTGTTATATTTAGAATTCTTGAAGAATCATGACAAAAAAAAAAAAAAAAAAAAAAATTAGCAAGTTTACTCTTATGTGAATTTAGGTTACTAAAAGTATATTATATAAAAAATTATCTTGTAAGTACAAAAGTTTTACAAAGAAATATAAATAAAGTTAAAAACAGAAACCTTTGGTGATTTTAGCCATCATCCATTGTTGAACCCTTTCTTCAGCCAGGTGAACAATAATTCCAATTATAACAATTTTTAGAATCTCAGATTGTCCTGGTACAAAGACATCAATAACTTTCTTGGAATTTGTTTGCACATAACTGAAAAGAAAAAGAAAAATATGAGTTATTTTAATTAATTTATTTTAATTTTTTTCTCTATGAATTAGACTTATTCCTGTGAATATTTCTCATTAAGTTGTTTATTTGTAAAATATTAAGCAACCACTTTTATGCAAGGCTAGAATATTGTATATGTTCTTATTCATACAATTCCACCCCATTTTCCTAACTACTTCATTATATTAATAAACAACAGTCCAGGTCCAAAAGAGTTATTGAATATCAATTTTTTTTTAAATAATTAGTTATTAAAATTAAGCAGTTAAATTCAGCAATTTTACACTGTATCAGTATGAACAGGACTCCCTTCTAAGATGTAGAAGAAAACAAAAAGTGCTGCAGCCTAAGGCAGAGCAGGGTTCCCATAGACTTGTTAAGAAAAAAAAAAAAAAATCTAGGTCTTTAAGGAATATTCCAGGACTGAAACTTGCACTAAAAGTGAATGGTCATCAATTTCAAAAACAAACTCCAATTTATCTTTTAATAGTTTGACAGATGAGATGTCAAAAGAAAAGTTACAGCTGGTTCCAATAATTCATGTCACATGGATCAGTCAAAAGTAGTGAAGAAATCAAAATGTTGAAGGCTAAAACAACTGAATGCAGACCTAGTTATGTTACACATTTTGTGTAGCATTCTACACAGTTTAGATTACTACACATGAAAATTTTGAATTACACACATTCTTACTGCTACACATTTCAGCTGTCTAGATTACTCATGGTTTGTGAACGTCACAAAAATTGACTGCTATACATTTTATGCGAAGTGGTTTTAATGAACAGAACGACAAATAGAAACTTTCAAAGACTTCACATTTTAGCTACCCCCATTACTCATGGCTTTTGTCACACATGGCACAGAACACAATGTTAACATTTTTTGAGTTCATCTAGTTTAGCATTCAACTCCTTTTCCAATTTTGATATTTCTAAGGTTTTTGTCCTTTGCAGATCTTCACATAGCGTTGGACTTTGTGATAAGTTCCGAGTCAGCTGATAGCTATGCAGAGAAAACTGAGCAGACTTGAGCAAATCTTGTGCATTTTAGTCTACAGTTCTTCAAATTCCATAAGCATGGAAATCTGTTTTTGTCCAGCTGCTTCTGTCTGCCTTTTTTTCTTCTCAGCCTCAAGGTATTGGTTGTATGTTGTTCTGGCATTGGAAGCACTGCAGAGAAAGAGCCTTAGTAATGGGAACATTCCCAGCACCTCCAACTGTGGCAAAATGTAGCCAGTAATGTACTGTGTAACCAGAACCTGCCATTTCATATTGTCAGTGAAAATTTCCTTACTGACTGAAAAATGTCTTCACCAAGACCTATCCATGAAAGAGTACTAACAATCTGAACCATTTTCCACAGGTTTAGTATTCTTTGTTGCTAGACAAAGATTAGAACAGAGTTTTCGTGCTTGTTGAAAATCTCAAAAGCAATATTTCCAGCAGCCTCCTCCTTGATCTTTTTGTACTGACTGATGATGCTATCAATTAGACTTGCCAACTTGTTTTCTGTCCAACATGTGAGAAAGACATCTTTTTAGACTGTCTTCTGTGGCAATTTTTTTTTTTTTCACAAATAGATCTGGGCTTCAGCCATGCAAGTGACCTTACAAGAGAGTATGTAAGGGGAAAGTTTGCTAGAAGTTTCTCAATGATGGTGATGAACATTGTCTTTGTTGTAATTCTGCATGCAAACAGATCTTTTGACATTTCCTTTTTTGGATAAATTTTGCAGTTTTATCTGCCAGAAATTTACATGTTTGAGTTTAACAAAATTCAAAAAAATTCATTCATTTTGGAAAATGTAATTATCTTTTTAGTGTGCATTTCCTCTACAAATCTTAAGTATTATGATCATGCTAAAAAGATCATCTGCAAGGAAAGCAAGCAATGATTTATTGCGATGACATTTTATCAGAAACTGTTCTGTCGTGAAACAGACACAAATCTGCCATTTCACTGGAAAAAAATATCATTCATGTTTGATAGCACTACAGAAAAGGACTTGGTCTGGGTCATCTTTTTAAAAAATTAAGTTCAAATTTTATGACATCTGGCCAAATGTCTAGGAGGCAATTATATGTTTGTACATTTTCTAGCCATTTATAGCAGAAATACAAGAGTAAAGGGACAGTGTTGCCAGAGAACTTAATAGAAAGCCAAATAAATTTTAATATATTTCATTTTTCCACATTTATAACCATTCTATTTTCAAATTTCTGGCATTTTGACTTTCATGAATTGAGAAAAGGATATGTGGACAACACAATTTAGAAAGTTCCAGGACTTTTCAAGAAGCTTTTGGGCTATAGCTGTTTTTCCCAGGACTTTTCAAGCCTTGAGAAAAGCCCAGTCACTTTTCCTGGACTTGTACAAACCCTTGAAGGGGTAAATAACAAATATACAAAAATGGTTAAAAAAAAAAAAAAAAAAAAAAAAATTTTTTTTTTTTTTTTAATTGGTGAGTGTCCCAGTTTATTTAAGTAGTGCCAAAAATTCTTGTTTGTATTGCATGTTTGAGTTATGATAGATTGTTATCTTCAATTAGGATCAATTAATTTTATACAGCCGATGTCAAGAGTTTAGGAAATCTTTCAAAATATATGAAAAGAAACTAATTTTAAATTTCACAAATAGCACTTTACACAATGATTTTAATCTGAATTAAATGTTCAGGGAATAAAAGACAAACTATTTTTTTTTTTTTATAGTTAACTAATGTAATAATGATGTAATAGAATGTCAAGAAATTTTATATATATATATATATATATATATATATATATATATATATATATATATATATATTTTTTCAAAATGAATTTGAAATGCAACAGATTTTAATTTGTTATTTTTGAAATAGATACCGATATTTGAGTAGGTGCTCTTTATTAAACACTAAACAGTATATTATCTACATCTAAATATTCAAGAAATCTTATGAGAAAAGAATCCATTGCAAAAAAAAAAAAAAAAAAAAAAAAAAAATGCTTAAACAAATCGAATAAAAAGTGTGCTGGATTTGATTAGGCATTCCTACATGGTATATCAGATCCAGGGGACAGGTTCAAATCCTGCCAGAGGATGCATATTTTTCTAATAAGATCTTGAATATTCAGGTTGATAGATGTAAATAAATAAAAATGGAGCATCTACTCAAATATGTGTATCCATTTCCAAAACATTTAAAACAAATTTAATATATTTTTATATAAAACAATGACAACTCAACATCTACAAAATCACCAATCAATTCATTTTATTACAAACTTTTTAAATGCAAAACCAAAATATTTGCTAAAGTATACATTGATTATTTAAGGCATACATTTATCAAAATAATTAACCTCAATATTTGTAATATTGACAAACTCACCTTTTTAGCTCACTTGATAAAAATTTTTGAACATCAGACATGAATTCTTTAGCATAAGTTTCAATAGCATTCAATTGCAATTCCTAAAAAGTATAAGATTAAAATTTGTAAGTCATTTCAAACAAGCATTAAGTTTAGTTTTAGAAGAAATTTTGTACAATACTTTTAATACTATCACTCAAGAAAATACATAAATTTGCTCTAGCAAGTATATTTACAGTGATTGTTTTCAGATAATCACATTGCATCATGATTTAGAGTTTTCAATTGTAACTTCTTAAGATGTTCAGTAAATGAAGGTAGTTGCCACATACACAATGAAAAGACTGAAAATGCATTTATGTCAATGTTATTAAAGTTTAAGAAAACGGGTAATGCTATAGAGACATTTTCAGCAAAAAAAAAAAAAAAAAAAAAAAATGTTGGAAGATGAAAACAGATTCACCAAACTTTGATAAACCTGTCATTAATGGAAAGCAATTCACAGCTATCTACCTGGGAATGTTAAGTATAATATATACTGACAAAAATAAGTCAAGTCAGTAAGCTAGGTGTTTTAGTTCCATGCTTTGTTAGCAA